AGTTGGTACTTTTACTCTCTTTTGAGACAATAGAAGTACCTTTGGAACAGAATTTCCCAAATTTTAATGTGTATATAAATCACAGAGTGTCATAGACTCTATGTCTAAAGTTCTCTTTTGGCCAGCAAAGGAGCGGACGCAGGATTAAAGCAAGAGATGGCTAGTGTCTGGGAAAAGACAAGCCCCGAATAAGGGTCCTTGCCTGTTTTTATTAGGATCAGAAGGCTTACAAACATGGTGATGGACACGCACAAAGGGACAATGAATCTGTGAACATTAACTTGTGGTCGTGAGGGAAAGGGGGTCTTGAGGATATTTGTGGTTAGGGGTTTGGGTTAATACAAAACAAAATCCGGGCGCCAGGCAGTTGGGAGGAGCGTTGTTTACAGCGTACATGAGGCAGCACCTATGTTTACCTTAGCTAGCCTCAGGGATGAGACAGGTAGGGGAAATAACCTCAGGGTTGACAAGGCACCTTTTCTTTCGTTAACCATTTCCCCTCTGGGCTTTGCCTGCAGCGCAGTGGTCCACAGTCCAATTCACCAATTTACCTAACCTGGCCCTATTCTCCTATGAAAGGAGCTTTTCTGCTATAGTACTAAATTTGGGGTGCTTTCACCCTGAATATTTAATCTTGTTATTTCTATGTATTGGGCACCTTTGCACTGTTTCTATTTCAGGCTTTTGCCTCTCTCTGTCTATTTTGGGGTGCCTTTGCACCTCCCTATTCCTGGCACCTTTGTGCCTCCCTATTCTCAGGGTGTCTTTGCACCCCGCTATTCTTGGAGTGTCAATCTGGTTTACCCAAGCTTGGGTGTGAACATTTTATGACTTTGTATTTCTTTATGACTTGTCAACCCACTGGTGTAACCCCGGGGGATTCCTAAGTTTATCTCCCACAACAGAGGACCCTGTTAAAATAGGAATTCTGATTTAGTAAGTCTGAGAAGAAGTCCATGATTCTGCCTTCTAATAACCTCCATGGGCCACTCTATGAGTACAAAGCCTTTATAACACTTAACTCTATTTACTAAGTCCCTCTATAATTAAATGCCAATCATGTACTTTGACTCTATACATATATAAACCCTCAACCCATTACTGTAGTTTTTTTATATAGACAATATTAACCTACATTTACCACAATAACTTGCCATTTTTGTTGCTTTTTACCCCTTTTTGCATTTGATATTCCACCTGAAACCAGTTTCCTTTTGCCTTAAGAATACCCTTTAGGGCTTCCTTTTATGGTATCCTATTGGTGAGAATTCTCTGTTTTCATCTGAAAATGTCTCTTTCATTTTTTAAAAGTAAACTTTTTTGTAATTTTGGAATAATTTTAGAATTACAGAGATAAAACAGAAGGTTCTCATATGTTCACCCAGGTTCCCCTAATGATACCATAATACATTTGTCAAAACTAAGAAGCCAACTTGACACATACTCTTGACCACGCTTCAGACTTTATTTGGCTTTCTCTAGTTTTCTAATTAATATCTTCTTTCCACTTCAAGATCCAATCTAGGATACCACAAGTGATTAGATCATTTGAATGTCATGTACAACTGATATGAGAAGGGCACTGCATCTCTATGGGATTCTCCAAAACCAATAACCCTAGTCTAACCATGAGAAAATATCAAACTACAGGTGAGGAACATTCTAGAAAATATCTGACCAGTATTCCTCAAAATTGTCACAGTCATGGAAAACAGGAATGAACTGAGACATTATAATAGACTGAAGGAAATGAAGGACACATGATGACTGAATACAATGTGCTATCCTGGACTGGCACATTGAAAAAGGCAAAGCAAAGATTAACTATTTTGAAGCAACTTAATTTTAGGTAGAATTATGCCAAAATGATATTTGGATTAGGTACTACTGGGAAGCAAGGGACAAACATTTTATTGATTGTCCTTAAGTCTTGAAAAAAATGATAACCCTTCCCTGTTTGGTAAGTAGAACTTTCTGCATTCTGCTCCAATTATTTTTTCTGTGTCAGTGGACTTTGAAGGTCATAGAATGTCAGGTATGATGGCAAGAACTTTATCTGGAGTATGCATAAATTATACTGAGGAGGGCAAAGGTATATCTTGACAGACACAATTTGATTATGAATAGAAGAGTGCTCTGGAACTTTAACAGTTCCTCTGTTGAGCATTTAATATTACAATTACATCTGTGGAGTAAGTCTCTCCTTATCAGATTCGCAGGGGTGCTATCACAGAGCAGAAAGGAGTGCTTTTCATTCAAGAGAGTAAGTGCTACAGTTAAGGGCTGGGAGTTAGGAAAAGTCTGTGGGTTGTCTGAAAGACCTATCTGTATTTCTGTCTGAAAGAATTGTGCACATGTTTAGTCTGAGAAAGACTTTGAGCAAGTGAGGAGTTTAATGTAGTAAGAGCAGCACCTATCTACCAGGAATTGAGTAGGTTTACCAACTGTATTTATTCAACTTGAGCATTTAAGGGTAAGTCAGGATATTGGGAGCTTTTTCCTTCTTTAGAGTACCCTTTTTGATCAGGATTGAGGGTTTTCCTTTGTCCCTGGTTTTCTTTTATGAGATAGGACATTCTGTTTTGCCAGTGTCCCTTCTATTTATACTGTCTACAGCGTCCTTGTCAAAAATGTTGCTTGGAAGGTGTATCACCTAGCTGTTGGTTCGGCAAGATCATAGTTTATTTTAGACTCTGTCTCATTTTGATTCTAAACCCTTTTTAAAATATACCAACAGGTGTTTAGGCAAAGGTGCTATTTCCTATTCTAATTTCTATTTTTGAATTAGGCTTCAGTTTCAGGCTTAACTCCATTGACAGAATGAGATAAAAGGTCTGCTTTTACACTGACACCTTTATTAACTCCCGAATGTTGTCAGAGGTATTTTCTAGTCTAGCACACAAAAAAAATATCTTATACTTTTACCTTTTTTCTTGGCTTCATGATTAAATTATAGTCTGATTAATTTTTATTGGAAATGTTTAGGGGTATGGCTTGTAAGAGGCTTTGCCCTACTTTTCAGGATTTTTTTTAAACCCTAGATTTATTGTGGATAAAAGAGAGCCTGTAGACCCCTTTCTGCGTCAATCCAATTAGTTTTTGTTATCCAAGATTTAGCATCTGAGGTTCTGACCAACATGTATACAAGCTGATGTAGGTTAGGTAGCCCTGAATCATATGTACCCAAAAGCATTGTAAATTCTTCTAGGAATAGTTGCTGGTTTTGTTGGGGGTCTTGTAAGGAGGTCTTTAACTATAGCTCTTAATTCATCTTAATTCATCATCCAAAGTTTAAATTCTACACTTGCCTGCTTATCTGGCTCATAAGATATGGATCTTCAGAGGCATGTGATATTTTGTGGCGTTAGGAGGCTGTTGGGCAAACATGGGGGGGGTTCTGCTCAAGAGGAAGAGAATGGCATAGTTGACAGAAGCGAGGAAAGACAGAGATGAGAAGGGTAAAGAAGTAGAGGGGTATTGGATATAGGGAGGCCACTGGAAGACAAGGACAGGAAGGATTTACTAGGAAATGAGTCTAGTTTCTTGTTGCCTAAGTTTGTCAAATTGCTCACGAGCTTCGGTCAAGAATGTTTAAGTGAAATAAATTTTGAACCAGAATTTCTTTGGGAGGCTTCTGCATACGAGTTAAAAACTGCAGTCCATTGACCTGAGAAATCTTAATTCCCCTTCTTTCCTAGGTTGCCTGTCAACACCAAATTTATCCAAGTCAAATGTCCCGCAGTGTGGCCACGGAAGGCCCAGATCCTCATTGCTGAAGTTATGCCACTAAGAGAGACAGCCACCAGAAGTAGGATTGTAATGACACCACATATAAGAAGCAGCAGTTTTTCCTGGCGGGGAAGTGGATTTAGGCTTAGACAAACCCAGGAGAACTGGCAATGGTTGGTTGAAAGTGATGCTTATGCTCTTTGTGTCTCAGGCCTCCCACCTGAGGGTTGGCCCCTCCAAACACAGACCTGACAATCTGTGCCCCCCCAGCAGGTAGAAAATTAGAGTGAGCCCCCTCTCTAAATTAAAGGCAAATTCTCAAGACCAAAAATCAAGATGGAAGGAGTGCCTCACTCAGTTTTATTGGTGACCCACAGTGATGTTTGTTCAAATGGATGGCCATCTGGTGAGAACTTCAAACTCACTGGTCTCTGAGGCTGGTTTGAACAACAGGCTTACAGGGCCTATCGCTGTGTTCTACCCTATGATTCTCCTTTTTATGACAAACAGCATTTTCAGGTAGCACAATACAAAATAAAAATATAAAAGACAGCCAAAAAAGAATGAAAAGGAATGGCCTGATTCCACCAAGGATAGAATAAGTACAATAAATAGCTGAGGAACTCCATGCAAAGATAGCAGAGTTCAGACCCAGCACTGACTTACGACGATGGCACAGACTTGACAGGCCACAAGCAGCAAGGCACAAGGGTCCTCTGCGTGTACCACATCTGGTCAAAGGCTGGGGGCCACAGTGATGGACAGTGCAGACCGTGTCTCAGTGGAGTCTCCAGAAAAACTGTGGCAAGGAACAAAGACCACCCAAATAATAAACAGAGACTATTCATTCAGAGCTTCCTATAGCAAGGGAATTAGTCACCATCACTCACATTTGGAGACTCAATGGCAGGCAGAAGGGTGGAAAAGCTTTATGGTGAAAAAAATGGGAAGGGTTCAGGTATGCTCTGATTGGGAGTTGTTAGCAAGGGGAAGATGGAGGTAGGCTAATTAGAAAAGGGCATCTTATGTCATTGGTTTAGGGAGCATACTTGGCTTTCTCTGGTTAGTCCTGCGTTGGAAGCAAGTGAAAAAATTGGAAAGCTGGAAGTCATTGACTGAGTCCTAACTGTTCTGGCAAGATTGCCGCAGGGGTTTTGGTTTGGCTTCCTGGGCTACTTACTGCAGAGATTATGGGTTGGGGTTCTTAGGACATCAGACAAGGTCTAGTCCTTGTCCATTTGTACAACCAGTCCATCAAGGCAAAGATGGCATTGAGAGATTACATCTCATTTAATCAAGACAATGGTCTCGTCTCCTCCATGTTCCTATTTTACAAATGGGGAAAGTAAAGCTCAGGGAGTACGAGTAATGTGCCCAAGTCAAACAACTAGTGACACAAGCAAAATTCAGATTATGAATGTTGGATCTATTTTTAACTATGTTACATCTTGTAAAGACAACTAAATTATTCTGATGTTGTGCTATTAAAAATATTAGATGCCTGGGCACCTGGGTGGCTCAGTCAGTTGAGCATCCAACTCTTGATTTCAGCTCAGGTCATGATCTCAGGGTTGTGGGATCGGGGCCCACGTTTGGCTCTGCTCCGAGTATGGAGCCTGCTTGGGATTCTCTCTCTCTCCCTCTCTCCCCCACTTGCACAGGCACTTTCTCTCTAAAGAAAAAAAAAAAGAAAGAAAGAAAGAAAAAATTTAAAAAATGTTAGATGTTCAATACTCATTGGGTGTGTGAATGGATGAAGATAATATTGGAATACCTCTCTTGAAATTGCTTCCACAGCCTGCAGTTTTTGAATAATTTCTATGAAGGCATACCTTGATGATGAATTTAGTTTCTGGAAACAAACATTTTTCCAAATTAAGACTGGTAAGTAAGGTGAGAGAAACTGCTGGCTCAAAAACCTAGAGTGTCCACTCAATAATGAGATGGGTCTTGCACTTATATGTGATTGACAAGATAGCTCTGAAGGCTTTTCCAAAGAAGTTGCAAAAATAGTTGTATTTTGGGAATAAGAACTGAACTCTTCAAAAGTTTGAAGGCTGATGTTTACTTTAAAAAATGAGCTAAATTCTCATTATTTTTGTGGCTTATATTTCTGTGTAATTTTACAAAGTTTTTAAACCGCCTATCATTCAGATAAATTTGAATTTGTGGCCCATCTATTTTGTGTTTAGTTCTGTGCTTTGAACACAGATATCCCATATAGCTTTCGTCAAACTGGAGTTCACAATCTAGTTGAGGAAAACATAAAATTAACAATGGAAATGCAGCTTGACAAGTACCAGGCTGACAAATGGTAGGATGCCCTGGGAACATGTAGTAGGAACAGTGGTGAGTTGGTACATACTAAACAATTAATTCCTGGACAGCAGCAGGGAGGTCAGGGCCTGATGTGTAGAAGTTGTTGATTTCCATGGTGATTTCCACTCTACCATGGCCAATTCCAAACTCCCATCATGATGCCCCTCAACCAGGAGTTGGAAAGAGATGTGCGGTGGTACACCATTATGTTGTGATTCCACCACACGGATATAATAGAGGTAAATAATCTCAGAAGAGCACTTTAAACAATAGAATGTAGTAAAAATAAGTAGGAAGTGATAAAGTTTGTGTATTCATCACTTTTGCTTTTAATATAATTTAAAGTGGCTGTATTTAAAAACCAGCTCACAAAATTACGGCACAGTTAACAATCAGCTTTTGCAAGCGAGTATGAACCAACTCAAGTGGACTCGAGGGATGTCAGGAATTACTGTAGGCTCACCTAAGGAGAAGAGTGCAAGGAAGTTGAAAGCAGGGATCCTATCTTTTCATTCCTATATATCCCATACCTAGCCCTGGGTTGTTTAATGGTCAAAGCAACTCATTAAATCAACATGAAAATTTTTGTAGTCCCTACTATATATTCTGGGCACTGTTCTAGGCGCTTGGGGAGGTATGGCAGCGAAAACCAAGTCCCTAGACTTTAGGAAGTTTATATCCATAGGTATGTGGGCGTGGGTGTGGGGTATACAAAAAAAAAAAAAAAAAAGTAAAATCAGTTGGTGGGTGACAAGTATTGGGGCTTTCTGTAGTGCAAAGGACAGAAGGAGCGGGACACGGTTATTTCGTAGCGGGCTGTCAAGGCAATAATAGGAAATGTTGGGACGTGCAAAAAGGATGAAAGGTTCTGCAATATGAGAAACACTGTGTAAGGCTGAAGCACAGACTGCGCAACTCTCACCATTCAACGGAGTTGGAACACATAAGACCCGAAAGTTTTTCTGCAGAGAAGTTCACATAGCTCCCCTGTACTTTCCTCGGCCCCTCTGCACAAGGGCAAACTCTTCCTTTAAGCCCGTCTCAGGAGCCCGCCACACGCGCAGACGTCTGCGCATGCTCAAGTCCACGCTTGCTAGTGCCCCATCTATGCGGATTGCGCATGTGCGAAAGCGAGACGCGCTTTTTGTCCCAAGGCCTTGCCGTACCGTCCAGGCGGCGAGTTGCGTCCCGGTTCAGTAGTGGGTGCAGGGTGTGTCGCGTGTTCTCTTGCTGCGGTAGCCACCGCCGAAATGAACCGCGAGAGCTTCGCGGCGGGCGAGCGGCTGGTGTCGCCGGCTTACGTGCGGCAGGGTTGTGAGGCCCGCCGCTCGCATGAGCACCTCGTACGTCTGCTTCTGGAGAAGGTACCGAGCTGTCGGGCCCCTCTCCAGCCGCAGCGCCCCCCCCCCCCCCCGCCTCCGGTTCCGCCCAGCGCCCCGGTCGTGCTGCGTCCTGCCCACCCGCTCTTCTTTGCTGGTTGAGACCTGTCCGCGGCAGTCTGTCGCAGCTTGGCAAGCATTGTGCGGAGTTGCTGCGCTCAGCTCCTTCTCAGCCTCACCAGAGTCAGCAAAACCCAGAGAGTGTTGTGAAGGGAGCGTGCGGGAGTCGGGATTTTTGAGTCTGGTTGTTTTCTAACTTCGGGATGTGGAAGTCCCAGTTGCTACTGTTTTGTTGGCGAAAGGGGCAAGGTTCGCATCTTCCGTCTTCCACGACTCCCAAGGACTCACGGAACATTTTGTTTCTAAACCACGACATACTAACTCGAGCCAAGAGCTGCCCCCGAACTTCACAGGTCTCGTTCCTACCGGTATCCCGAATTTTAATTTCACCGACGTTTGACAATCCCTAGTTTCAGCAGCCTGGTTGGAACAGTCCTCGTTGAAGATAAGGTTTATTGGTTTTCAGTTACTTTAACTCATTGAAACATCAAACCTGAGTAAACCTCATCGTATTCATTTATTATCACTTCTGGCAATCTGTAGAGAATTGTAATGCAGTGTAACGAATGTTTTGCCTATTCGAGGTTTCCTCATAGTGCGAAATTTATGTCTGAAGTTTAGAAAGCAAGGAGTATGGCAAAATACACATTACAAAGTTTAAAAAATGTATTGAAGTAAGGTCCTGGGGGATGGTTTTCTTCAATATACATGTTTTGTTTTGTTTTGTTTTGTTTAAAGGGCAAGTGTCCAGAGGATGGTTGGGATGAAAGTACACTTGAACTCTTTTTGCATGAACTTGCAATCATGGACAGCAACAACTTCCTGGGTAATTGTGGTGTTGGTGAAAGAGAAGGGAGAGTGGCATCTGCATTAGTTGCTCGGCGTCATTACAGGTATATTTTTAAAGTAGAAGACATTCCCCCCCCCCTTTTTTTTTGTTAAAAACAATGGTGGTAATAGTAACATATTAAATTATACAATGTCCATTGGTAACCTACTTCTTCCCTATTCAAATGGACATAGAAACTAGATGCAACAGGGAGATGGAAACAATTTGAGTATGTGTTTTTCAGGACAGTAGGATGACAGTGGTGGCTATTCTGTCAGGTTCTGGGTGGTGAACAATACTGCCTATACGTTCTGTTAATAACGTTTAATGTAATAAGCCTGTTTGGTTGTAAGAGTTTAAATATGTTAAGGTTGTTTATAGTTTGCTGGGTTTTTTTTTTTTTAATTTCTTTAATGTTTATTTTTGAGAGAGAGAGAGAGACCATGAGCAGGGGAGGGGCAGAGAAAGAGGGAGACACAAAATCTGAAGCAGGCTGCAAGTTCCGAGCTGTCAGCAATGAGCCCAACACAGGGCTTGATCTCATGGACCGTGAGATCATGACCTGAGCTGAAGTCGGCTGCCCAACCGACTGAGCCATCCAGGTGCCCCAGTTTGCTGTTTCTTTTCTAACATTGCAAGTTGTTTTTTTTTTTTTTTTTAAGAGAATGATATGTAGGTAGAACTTTAAAATGTTGTTCATCTGTATCTAAAATGAGTTATTTTATAAATACCTTGCTTTGTTGCAGTAGATGCAGGAAAGATACCTTAAATTTGATTTTAGATTATTAAGTCACCTTTTTCTTTTGCAATATTTTAGAGAGCTTTTTATCAATTCTGTTAACCATTTAATTGGTAGTATTTCCAAATATGATCATTTCTCTGTTCTTCAAAGTTTCCATGAAATATAGGTAAACTAGTAAACACTCCTGTCTTGAAATTTGCAGTGATGAAACTCTTCTGCAGATAGTAGAATTTTATTTCAATCAAAACCATTGCAGTCGGAACTAATAATAATAATGAATCTATAACTTGGATGAAAAATTCATGGTTAAAATGGGCTGATAACATGATTTATAATATTTGTAAAAAAATGCTTTCTACATTAGGTTTCCGGGATAATGAAGTATAACACTAGTGTTCTGTGATAATCCCAGTGTGAAGGATTTCTGATCTAACTATCAAGTACAAACAGACTTTTGATTCTGAAGAATATTCAGAAGTGTCTCTCACGTGTATGACATCACCTAATCAAAATGAGTAGATTTGCGCACTATTTTAAGGAGTATACACAGTTGACCCTTGACCAATATAGGTTTGAAATGTGCAGGTCCACTCACATGTGGATTTGTTTTTGATGAATATAGTACAGTACTTGTAAATGCATTTGCTCTTCCTTATGATATTCTTAATAACATGATCTTTTCTCTAATTTACCTTATTGGAAAACAGTATATAATACACATACAAGGTATGTGTCAATTGACACATATGTTATTGGTAGGGCTTCCAGTCAACAGTAGGCTATTAGTAATTAAGTTTTGGGGGAATCAAAGTTATTTGTGAATTTTTGACTGTGTGCCCCCCCCCCCCCAAACTCCTGCCTTCAGGGGTCAGCTGTAGTATTTTTAAAATTAAGGTGATATTTGAAATAGCAGCTCATGCCCATGGGAACTTAGTCCACTGCTTTGGTTAAGGAAATGGAAAGAAAGAAGAGAATCTGATGTTACATATATTCTGGTTTTCTATTGCTGCTAACATACACCTCGAAACTTAGTGGCTGAAAACAATCATTTATTATTATCTCTCACAGTTCTGGGGGTTAACTGGGCTCAGCAGGATGATTATTGGTTTCTGTCTCTCATACAGTTGTAGTCGGATGTTGGCTGAGAGTTTAGTCATTAGGTTCAACTGGACAGTTTAAGTTGACTCACTTAGATGGCTGAGAGTTCAGATGGCCTCTCCAGGTGGCATGGGCCTCTCCAGGTGGCATGGGCCTCTCCCAGCATGGCAGCTGGATTATGAGAGGGAACTCCCACAAAAGCAAGCCCTTCAAGAGGTCAGGTGAAGCTTTAAGGCTTCTTTGACCCAGATCAGAAATTCCAGACCATCACTTCTTGCTAGATTCTTCCTGGCCAACCAGTTCACTAAGGCCAGTGCAGATTCAATGCAGGGGAATTTGATTCTCTCTCTTGGTGTTGACAATAGTGTGTGGCATAGGGAGAAAAGGAATTGATGGTGGCCATTTTGGGAGACTAGCTACCACAGTATAAATGATGAATTTGTTTCAACTTAACTAGGGTATTTTTACATTGTTAATAGTTTATAAAAAATATCTACAATAGTCAAGTGTTGCCTGTTGTTTTGATTATTGTGTCTGTATACTTACACAGTGGATTACTTAGAACACTGAATATTTTTGTCCAGTTGTTGGCCCATTTTTTGCTTAGGTTCATTCACGGAATTGGACGATCGGGTGATATTTCTGCTGTGCAACCAAAAGCTGCAGGTTCTAGCCTTTTGAACAAAATTACCAATTCTTTGGTCCTGGACATCATAAAGTTGGCTGGTATGTACTATGTTAATCATAATACTTTTGGCTGACCAGCCATACACACTTTTGCCTAATATCTTTTATTAATGCCTCTTTCCAAATAGGTTATAAATGGCTTTTGAAAAGATACATATATATATTTTAAAACCCTTTAGAAAAAGATGGAAAATCAGAACCATAAGCCAGGAGGATGAATTTGGCAGTGAGCCTCCTGAGACCAAGGACAGAAGAAGCACTAAGTCTATAACTCTTACTATTTAATTGAAGAAGTATATCATTTCTTCAAGAAGGGTGCTGGTTTTTCAGTGGAATAACTAATTTCTCTTTTACTTCTTATTTTTAGGTGTCCATACAGTGACCAACTGCTTTGTAGTTCCTATGGCAACTGGTATGAGTCTAACCTTGTGTTTCTTAACATTACGACACAGAAGACCAAAGGCAAAATATATTATATGGCCGAGAATAGACCAGAAGTCCTGCTTTAAATCCATGATCACTGCAGGTAAAGGAAGAGGAGTGGCATATATAATGCAGAAGATTCAGACTGTTTATATAGAGATAGATGAATGAGAAAGAAACTAAGCGTGTTCGTATTCCTTCCTTTTATTGTCATAAAATACACATAACAAGATTTACCATTGTAATCATTTTTAAAGGTATAGTTCTCTGACATTAAATACATTCACATTGTTGTGCAACCATTGTGTAACACCAGCTCCAGAACTTTTTCATCCTCTTAAACTGAGTCTCTACCCATTAAACAATAACTGCTCCCTCCACACTACCCCCAGTTCCTAACAATCACCTTTCTACGTTCTGTCTCTATGAATCTGACTACTCTGGGTCCTTCATATAAGTGGAATCAGAGTATTCGTCCTTTTGAGACTGGCTTGTTTCACATAGCATAGTATCTTTAAAGTTCATCCATGTTGTAGCACGTATCAGAATTTCTTTCCTTTTTTAAGGCTAATATTCCACTGTGTATATATACATATATATATATATGCATAGGTATACGTATATATATTTCACATTTCGTTTGTTCATTCATTCATTCATTCATTGATGGACACTTGGGTTGCTTTCACTTTTTGTTTCTTGTGAATAATGCTGCTATGAATATGGGTGCTTAAGTACCTGTTTGAGTCTCTGCTTTGAATTCTTTGGGGTGTATACTCAGAAGTGGCATTGCTGTATCATATGTCCCCATTTTAAAGAATATGATTACCCGTCTCACAAGATTGTTTTGAGTACTAAATAGGATGGCATATGAAATGCCCAACAGCAGTCCTTGGAGCATAGACCGTGCTTCAGGAATGGTTGTTGCATATACATAAGTGGAATACACATAAATTATTAGCATGAATCAAAGTGTAAGGATACAGGGGTACCTGGGTGGCTCAGTTGGTTGAATGTCTGACTCTTGATTTTGGCTCAGGTCATGATCTCATGGTTCAGTTCATGGGATTGAGCATCAGACTCCACACAGCCTGCTTGGGATTCTCTCTCCCCCTTACTCTCTGCCCCTTCCCTGCTTGCACTCACGTGCACACGTGCACACACTTTCTTTCTTTCTGTCTCTAAGTTAAGGAAGAAAGAAAGAAAGACAAAGTGTAAGGATAGAGACATTATTAAGTATAAATGAGGCAGAAACTCTACTTTGGTATTTTAGTATTTGGCTTGATTAATTCAAGTCGAATTTGAGAATTTGAGGTTAATTTTGAATGGCCTCAGTGTGTTGTATGAAATGAACTGTATTAGGCTATAATTAAACTGTATAAGTAATCCTAAAGAAACTCATGTAAAGGGATTCATAGTAAGGACATATCGCAGAAACTGATAGACTTTTAAAAAATATACTGATTTATTTTAAGTGGTGTCAAGTTGTTAAGTCTGTTTATTTATATCATGTTAACCAAAGAACTAATAACCAAACTTCTGGGAAAGATTGCCATGTTGAAAAACTGGAAACTTTTCCAAAAGATGTTAGGATTTGTACTACAATTTATAGTTTATCCTTTCTTAGGATAGCCTAATTCTTAGTAAATAAGATAGTTGTATCCTCAAAAAAAATTTGCATTTTAAAAAGTTTTAAAAGCAAAAATAAGATTGTGTCTAGAGAATTTGAGAAATAATAGAAAATCAGCTGTAATTAGGAAGCTACTTATTTAAGTAAAGTTTTGTGTGTTTGTTTTGATAGCTGTGAAAATACAGGTAGAAAACCTGGACATCTCTGTACCAACATAATTGAATTGATTTTATAGTGGCCAGGTTTTTATATTTCTGTAGATAGAATGCAGGCAACTTGATATGGATTTTAGAACACAAAACTACTTGCTCATAACTGTGCTTTAATATGTTGTGTGGTCTTGTGAAAGCCACTCAATTTTCCTAAACTTCAGCACCCTTATCTTTGACACGAGTGAGGTCAGCTAAATGGTTTCTAAATCTCTTACAGCCCCTAAATCCATGAATCTAGTCTGCTGTGGATTTGCTATTTGGGAAGACTCAAGATGTAACTGCATAATAACTTTATGTGTAAAATTTCCCAAGTTTAGTTTCTATCCAGTTTGTAAGATTTAAGCACTTAGATTTTACTTTTACCCTAAGTACTTACTAATATTACAAAATAATTTAGTTATCTAAATGCTTTACATATTGGGATGAGCACTGGGTGTTGTATGGAAACCAATTTGACAATAAATTTCATATGAAAAAAATAAATGCTACGTACATTATTCAGTGTATCTATTGCACATACAACTCTTAATGTTCATGGATCTCTAAATATTCACCGTACAAGATTACATAGTTATTATTTGGGTAGACCTTTGAGCATATGCTAGTTAAGTGTACTAATTCAATTGACAATTGGGAAAGTTTTTGTATCTAAGTTATAGAAGACCCTTGTAAACTATGAGATGGGTCAGTGATCATTAGGCTACTAAAATGCATTACTTTTTCCTTAGTAAAATACTAAGTTGGTTGTGATTTGTTTTGGTACTTGAATTGTATTATTTTTTTGTTCATTCCTGACATAAGGTGAACTTAGAATGAAATGTTGCCAGAGAATGAGTAGATTTACTTTTCTGTGGTCTGAAATTGTATGTACTAAGTGATCCTTTTATCAATGACTGTGTAATTACTTTTATAGGTGTCTGTTTGACATTTGTTTTCCTTCCCAGAAATAGGCATATCTTTCTGGGCATATCTGAATGTTAAATAGTTTTGTGGTCCTAATTGTGGCCTAGGGGTCCTTCACATTATTTTGACCTGCCTTTGACTCATACCAGTATTGAGCCAGGTCTTTATCACTAGGGGAGGGTTCACTGACCAAATCAAATATTTAGAGTTCTTATACAGAATGGCACTGTTTCCTAGAGTTCCAGGATTTTTCTTACTTTCGTTTACCTAACACTTTGATTTCGGATTGGCTTGGTTAGGTTTTGAACCTGTGGTGATAGAGAACGTGTTAGAAGGTGACGAGCTGCGCACAGACCTGGAAGCAGTGGAGGCTAAAGTCCGGGAACTTGGGCCTGATCACATTCTGTGTGTTCATTCTACTACCTCCTGTTTTGCTCCAAGGGTGCCTGATAGGTAAATAATTTGTAAATACTGTCCTGTAGATGTTGATTGGTCTTTTAAGTGAAATGCAGACATGCTAATTGTCAAACATGCTTAAGTAACACGTGGCAGTAAATAGGTGAATGGACCGGTGGAGAAACGACAGTGGTTTGGGAAAATGAAAATTTGGATAGAGAAGTTGGGAAGACAACTAGTAGCAAGTGGACCTGAGCAGACAAAAAACATCTCTGTTTTCTTGTTTGTTCCTGTTTCTAATCTCTGTGTATCTTTTCCTCATTGTTTTGTAGAAGCTTCTAAGCATAATGTTGGATTTACTTGTTTTCATTGCTATCTCCATTTCTTTGATCTTACAGTAAGTTTTCCTATGTAAGAACTATCCATAGTAACAGATTTTTAAATAGAAAATTTTAGGATTATTTATTGCCCTTTGAATTCTTTTAATTGGAAGATTAACTCACATGTACACTCAAGTGTTCACAGTGGATGTCTTTGCATTTTGGGAAAAATGCATACATTTAAGAAAAGCAAGGACACTTAGGTCACTCTGTTGTTAAGCATCTGGCTTCCGCTCAGGTCATGATCTCACAGTTTGTGATTTCGAGTCCCACATCCCCACATCGGCTGAGCTGGAGCCTCGCTTCAGGAGAGCATTGCTGCTCTCTCTCTTCTCTCCCCCTCCCTCTCCCTCTCCCCCTTGCTCACTTGCACCTTTCTCTCAAGAGAAAAGGGAAGAAAAGAAAAAAGAAAAGCAGAAAGGGAAAAAGCAAATGTTTACTCCTTAAAGGGTGTCCACGAATTTTTATTCTGGAAATGTAATAGGCCTGAGTATAGTAATACAGATTCCTAGTTTTGACAGCAACTGTTTCATTTGAACATTTTGAACTGATGTGCTAATAATTTGTGAAAACTATATTGACTTGGACTATTTTTTTTAGGTTGAGTTGTATATACTTTAGTTTTAATTCATGGAATCACATACTTCGGCAGTAATGAATGTATGTTAATTTTTATCATTTTACTATTATTATTACTACTTATTATAGGCATGTTTTAAGAGACAATTTTAAGAGCATGCTTTTGAAAATTTACCTTGTTATGTTACTCTGTGGATTCTATTTTAAGATTATGTTACATATGCTTTTGTTGTTTATTCATTACTTACCAATCAGATTTTAAATCTGTATTGAAATATTAAATAAACATCCCTATTGTTCTTCATTGATGATATTGCTATCTAGAAGAATTTTAATGTGATAGAAATAAATCCCACTTCTAAAAACAGCACATGGATATTTGTGATAGATTTTTTTTTAATGTTTATTTTTGAGAGAGAGAGAGACAGTGCGAGCGGGGGAGGGCAGAGAGAGAGAGGGAGACACAGAATCCAAAGCAGGCTCCAGGCTCTGAGCTGTTAGCACAGAGCCCAACGGCGGGGCTTGAACTCAAGAACTGTGAGAGCATGCCCTGAGCCGAAGTCAGATGCTGAACCAACTGAGCCACCTAGGGGCCCCTATGTTAGATTATTTATGCTTGAGGATAGTTTTGTTTCATTTTGACTTTTTTTTTATGTTTACAGTATGCTTGGTGTAGGGTTAAGTATTTTACATGTATTATCTCTTTTGGAAACAAATCACAAAAGTTTTTTATCAGTGAGCAAAATTCTCATGTGCCATTTTTTTTTTAGTTGTGTTATATAATGACTGTTTCTGGTATGGGTGAACTTTAGGAAAATGGTAATACACAGTTGTAGTAATATGTTTGAACTTCTGATTTTATTAAATTTAAAATATGATTTTATTTCATTGCATTAAGCTTAATTCCTTTATAGTCTTAATTTGAATAGTTGAATATATATGTTGTCTTTATTAATTAATTTGACAGAGTATTGTGGGGCAAAATCAGTCAAAGGAAATGTAATAAAAAAGGATATCATTTTTTCAATTTGACAAGCTGATCTTCAGTTGGCTGCTAAGTTAGAATACAATTTGATTCACATGTAAGATTTTTTGTCTCTCCTTGCCTTTCATTAAATACCTTTATATACGCTCTAAACATGAGCAAACTTCCTCAATTCTGAGTATTTAAAACTACTCACAAGTGATTCTTTTTTCTTTTTAAAATAGTACTTTATGTTGTTATAGTATCTTACTGTCAAGGAACTTTGTTATTAAGGAATGCTTTCATTAGAACACAAACACATCAAAGTGCATTTTATGAAGAAAATACTTGGGTGTATCCCAGAAGGTCTAGTTTGTTAAAAACGACATCTGATTAATTTAAGTAGTAGAAAGGTTCCTGTGTCAATTTGTGAGCTTTATGAAAATGAATGGTAAAATGACTCTTTAATTCATAATACTTTAAGGAAGTAAACTGAAAACTTCGGACGAATGAACAGAATAATGTCAGTCCTATCTGTACTTTAAAAACATATTAACGCGTATCTACTAAAAAAGAAAACGTATTTGGCAAAAGTAAGTAATAAAACTATGTAATAGATATTTGAAATACATCCGTGTGGGAAAGAACTTTTACTGAATAAAAGTGCTTTGCTTCTAGATTCTTTATATTGTAGAAAGAACATTTTTTAAAAATTTAACTTTATTAAATCATAGGATTTAGTCTTAGCTTCACAGCACGTGAAGACATTTCTATTAAGAGATCACCTCCGTCACAAGTAGTAGTTAGTTTCTCAGAGGAACATCATTTATTACATTCTAATTGAAATTTATTACCTTACTTTACATAGAGTTAGACTCTCAAATTGTTTTAATATAAGGAGTGTCAAATGAAAAAGTAAGAGTGAATTTAAAACTGGCAGCTATTTAAAAGATTCTTTAGTTTCCAAGTTGTTGGAAAATGTTATTTTGGTACTGAAACGTTTTAATGTTCTGTATTTTTTAATACATTAAAGTCTACTTGAAAATGTATTTTTTACTTTATGAGATGTTAAGTGTGAGATTTCTTAAGATTTCGAGATATGCTAATTATTTTGCAGATATTAGCTTTAGTATAATAAGCAACCAAAAGCATTTAAAAATGAGCATACCACCTTGTAAGGGGTCATTATAATCTGCTTCTTGCTTTATATATATATAGGAAATTTTAAAGCGATTTAAAAGCTACCATCTATGTAAGTTTTTATATACCCGTTTTCTCATTTATTGGTAACATTATTTTAAAAGCTTTTTTAGATTTATCCTAAAGTGCCTGCTGCTGAATTTTATGCTAAAATTCTGATACAGAAATTTCAATTTTCCCATTTTTTTCCTAGTGTACATTAAGAATAACTATTAAATTAGAAAAGTTTTCACACTGTAATTTATAAAAGCACAGTAAAAATATGTCTTTCTGTTGAATATTTATGTCTGTAGATTAGAAGAACTGGCTGTGATTTGTGCTGATTACGGCATTCCGCACGTAGTCAACAATGCGTACGGGGTGCAGTCTTCCAAATGTATGCACCTCATCCAGCAGGTAAGAGAGTTTAGAAAGATGCGTCAAGAAACAATGATTTTAACGTATTACAGGATTATTACTTTGTTTTTCTTACAGCTTAATGTAGTAAAGTCAACTCTGTAGCATCTTCAACTTCATGGCGGGTTAGAAATTAGCATTTTATAGCCACACAGTAAAAATCGTTCTCCTTTAATGGTAATTGGACTACTAGCTTTGGTCAAGACCAACACAGAAATACTTCAGTAGCTTATTTTTTGTAACTTTCTGAGAACGTTTCATTACCAGTATTCTCATTTTTCTAATCTACTGGATTATTGTCTTTTTTAAGCTATATTGATGATTGATTCCATATTTAACATTTAAGGAACCACTGTACCTCATTCTCCTAGGCTGGAAATGGCCTCACTTATAAACATTTTAGTGTATGGCTATGGAATTGGCAGGGTTTAAAACACGTGATGATTTTGTTTTTACAAGCATCAACTAGATCCTGGTCATCTGTTTTAGATTCATGTTTTGAAAATGTGTCTGGGCATCCCATCCCGCTCAGAATAAGAATCTCGCCATGACCTGCAAGGCTTTGTGTCTTCAGGCCTCTGCACCTTCTCCAGTTTCGTTTACTTGTGCTCTCCCTCCCATCCGCTGTCTCTGGGCCTAATTGCCTTTTTTTCTGTGCCTCCCGTGTGCCACACATGTGTGCACTGCCCTGTTTTTACTCTTGCTCCTTCCTCTCACTGGATTCCTCTTCCAGAGAGTTACTTGGTGTCTTACCTCTCTTGAAGTCAGTGAGACTCTAGACTCTCTATCTAAAATAACAGGGTCCTGTGTCTTGCCTGCATTTTCTGTCTCCTTTTTTGTATTTTTACCAGAAACGTTGATTTTAAGGTACACATTTTTCCACATTATAACATCCCTGAAATTGGGGTGTCTTAGAATCAGTGGTGTCTGATTAACATTGTAATGTTAATTGGTAATGTTTTTTCTTACCTAGTAGTGTGGAAAATTTGGATGCTTCTTAAAATTGATGACCTCTTGCTCTGTTTTTCATAGCACTTCTCACCATTTGCTAAGATATTTATTTTTTTATTGTCTAGTTATTGGTAGTAACTAGAATTAAGGTTCTGTTAGGGAAGAGATTTTGTGACTTTGTTTTGTTCGCTGTTATGTCTTCAGTATTTAAGACGGTCTCTGGTACATAGTTGATACTCAATAACTGGTTACTGAAAACATTGGATGAGTAAATGAAGTATTATATCTACTACAACGATTATTTATACTGTATGAGGATGTGGATAGGCGTTATCCATGTATGGTGTAAGTTACATAATTTGTATGCATAATGTTGTGAATCACATACTCAGTTTTGGCACATGTGGTTTGTGTTACGTGGGCAAGACTTTAACTCACAGATTATCTGTGGTCTTCTCCAGTGTGGTGGTGAATGCTTCTTAGCCAAGTAGATCCTATCTGGAAAAAAAAATTTTCTTGGAGCATGCTAGTATCATCTCTCATATAAATGTGGTTTATATGATGGTATTAGCTGATCTGCTTAATTTTTTTTTAATTTTTAATGTTTATTTATTTTTGAGAGATACAGTCCGAGTGCAAGGGGGGTGGGGGTAGGGCAGAGAGAGGGAGACACAGAATCCAAAGCAGGCTCCAGGCTCCGAGCTGTCAGCACACAGCCTGATATGGGGCTTGAACTCACAAACCATGAGATCATGACCTGAGCCGAAGTCGGATGCCACTGACTGAGCCAGCCAGGTGCCCCTGCTTAATTTTTTTACTCAAAGGTTGTACCAGTTAGGATGCAGTTGGCTGCAAGTAAAAGAAACCCAACTCAAATTAGCCTAACCAGTGAGGAAATCCAGAAGTTTACATAACGTCAGAAGTCCAGAGCTGGAGTGGGTGGTAGGCATGTTATGTCAAGGAAGACCATTCACCATTTCTTCCATATCTTTTTGCATTATTCCTGAACTTTTAAAGAACATTTTCCTCACAATTCTAAGCTTGATTATCTCCAATGTGAATGGTAGCGGAGAAAAGCTGTATAATTCTCTACACTGGAAATCTTGAAAAACATTTTATTTCAGTGATTTGTTTTTATGTCTCCTCTCCCTTTCCCCTTTTCCTCTTTGAGTTTTATCAGCCTCACTTCTTTTGAAAGTTAAGCACATCAGCATTACTAAAAGTTCAGAAGAGTGAGGAAGGAGTAGACTATCACTCATAAACCTGTACACTAACAAATACCCTTAATAGTTTGTGTCCACTTTCTTCTCATTTTTATATGTATATTCCTTTTTTACAATAGTGACAGTCGTTGTGTACATTTAGTGTTAACTTTTTTAAACTTTTAAAATAAAAGTGTACATTTAGTGTTAACTTTTTTAAACTTTTAAAATAAAAAAAATATTTAATTTTTATAGATTACATTTCTGTATTCTCCACATGCCTGTGAAATCTTCATGAAGACCATTTCAGTGATTCCAAAACATTCACTCAGATATTATATATTTAACCCAGAAGTGCTTAGTGTTGTGGTGCCCATGGTATAATTTTGAATACTGGAAAATTTGGCAGCATAACTGGAGAGATTAAGACAAAGACAGTGCGTTCCAGGATGTGATGTAGAAGGTGCCAGTGGAAGTGTGCCTCATGAATGCCTGCCTTTGTCGTCCCCTCTCTTCATTGGTGAGGTGAAAATCTTAAGCAGAAAATAACACTTTAAGATGGGTGGGTGAGTGGTTTTTAAACACAGCTGCTGTATTGTCGCAGATACTGTATTACCTTCTAAAATTAGCATTTCTTAAAAAAAATAAACAAGCAGTACTTAAACATTTGAATTTTCCCAAACTGGCCCTCACAAAGAGAGGTGTTGGTACTGTCGCTTTAAACTAAATAAATATTTGGGTCTTTTTGAGTGCCACTGCTGTTTCATGATGTTCTAGAAAATTAAAGTTAGCTTTCATTCATCTCAGTAGTTCTTAGTGATATATATACCATTTACTGAGTACCCACCATGCGTCAGGCATCCTCCTGGACTTTTAAAGTTTATTAGCTCAAGCCTAACAACTTCAGGTGTACTTATTATTTCTGTTCTATAAATGAAGAAGCAAACTTAGAAGGATTAAGTGACTTGCCCAAGGTCCAGTAGCTACAAAATGGCCCATGTAGTTCAGTGAGGCTTCAAAGCCCCATGTTTTCCTTTAAAAAACAGCGTGCTGAAACTGTAAACACTTCCTTGAGAAGACAGCAGTGTAGTAATCAAACCGTCAGTGAAGAAAGAGCTATAGCTACAGCGTGTCAGCTTATTTATTTATTTTTATTTTAAAGATGCTGCCCCAGGGTGACTTAATCCTCAGTACAGGAAGCATTCTGGTATGCACGTGTCGTTGAAGTCAGCTCTGAACAACCTGTGCTTCTGTTTCTGTGCTAAACTGACTCATTTAGAAGACTGATGGAATGTGGATAGTAGGACGGATTAATGGAGAAGGATGTGGTAGAGTCACAAAAATACATAGGATTAATCTTTTTAGAGTCAGAATGGATTGTAAGGCTCCCGAAGTGTGGGAAGCAGTGGCTTCGCTTATTAAGAATTTGAGAAACGCCTTGGATCCTCTGTCTCCTTCTCTCTCTGCCCTTTTGCCCTGCTTTCAAAAATAAGTAAACATTAAAAAACAAAAGAACTTGGGAAAAGTAGGTATTATACTACTTATTCACAGACCTAATTCTCAGTTCATTCAACAAGCATTTACAGGGTTTCCCTCTGTGTGCCAGGCATCAGGTTAGGCACTGGGGATACAGGGGCGAATACAACAAAATCCTTATCTTCGCGGAGCAGAAGCAGACAGTAAACAATAAGTACGACAGGCCTTGATAAATGCTCTGGATCGGGAAGGGGGTATCAGATTAGATGGAGCGATCCAGAAAGTCCTCCCCAGGAAGTAACGTGAGCAGAGCCCCGAGTGATAGGAAGGAGTAGGCCACGCAGCTCTTTAGAGTCCAGACAGGAGATAACAGCAAGTGCCAGGACTCTGAGGCAGGAGTGTGCTTGGGGTATGCAAAGAACAAGGAGGCCAGTATGGCTGGACCAGGGCAAATGCGGGCGGCAGTGGTAGTAAAGAGAAGTGAGGTGTGTCAGCATTTGGGATTTTATCCTTGGTATGGTCGTCAGCCATGGGAGGGTTTTGAGCAGGAGAGTGACGTGTGATTTATGTTTTTTGACCATCGTTGTGGCTACTCACATTGTGGCTACTGTGAGAGTAATAGACTGTAGGAAGGCAAGAGTGGAGGGCTGTTGCAGAGCTCACAGAGCTTGAAATAAGTTGGTGGCTCAGGCCAGGAGAGTAGCCATTAAGGTGTTAAGAAATGGTTAGATTCAGATGTATTTTGAGAGTGGCTCTTACAGGGTGTACTGATGAATCAGATGTGAGGTGTGAGGAAATGAGAATTCAGAGCCCAAGGCTTTAGCTTGGGCAGTTGGAAGAATGGAAATGCCATGGGAATAAGAGTTTATTTTATAAACCTGGGCTCTTCCTCCAGATTACCTAGGTTTTAGTCCCTGTTGTATCTTGGATTACCTTGGTGACTTCTAGTGAGGTGCTTTAACTGCCTGGATTTGAATCCCAGCTGTGCTGTTAATATTAAGTACACTCCTGACCTTGGGCAGGTCGCTTTAGTTTTATTGTCCCTTAATTTTCTCGTCTGTAAAATAGCAATTATAATAGCATCTGCCTCATATGGTTATTACAAGGGTTAAGTATGTGAAGTGCTTAGAACAGTACCTGATGCACAGTAGGTTCTCAATAAATACTGGCAGAAATTATTATATGAACAAGTATCTGTTTTATTTGCTATCGTTGTCCCTAGATCCTTGGACAATGTTTGGCAGCTGATATTTCTTTTGTGAATAAACAAGGAAATGAATGAGCTGGTAATTGACAACCCTTTCCTTCATAGAACATGCTCGTATGATTCCTGTTTTATTTAAAAACCCTTTCAGCCTTCTGGTATTTTTTTCCTCCTCATTGATATCCTCTGACTTCAGTGAGTGGGTCTAGCTTGCTTTTTTATCTTTTTTGCTAAGCAATTTATCAAACCATACTCGATGGATATTAACTAAACTTACTATGGTAATCACTTCATAATGTATGCATATATCAAATCATCGTGTCGTATACCTCAAACTTCTACATACTGTGTCACTTATATCTCACTAAAGCTGGCATTTTTTCACTTAAAAATTTGAAAAAAAACCATACTTCACTTCCACATTTTTTTGCAAAGTTTCATCTTTTAAAAATACTTAGATATACACTGAATATTTAGATATTCTGTTTCTTTGATAAAACCATTTGTTTTTGGGGAGCCTGTTTGTCTTCTTGCCATGGAGTGTGGTAGTGCCTTTTATGCTGTCTGGGTTTTAGCGGTGAGGGGATTCTAGCAAAGTCCAATGCAGTGGTGGTTCTCTTACACTCCTGTACCTGATTTAGGCTCACATTTCTCTCAGGAAGCCTTGGACAGTACTGAAGTGTTAATAAAAGACAACTCTTAACTGTTCCTCTTTATTTTCACCTTCTACTACTTTGTGTGCTGTTCAGTTATTCTATTAGTCTTTATATGCTTCTCTCTGTTTTCCTGTGATACAGTGAGATTTTCTTTGATCATAGTTTATGAGGAAATTAGAAGAGTAGTAGGGAAAGTTTGAGATTGAAACAGCCATGCAGTAGCTTCCGAAGTAGTCTGCTTCCCTTTCCTGCTTTTGTGTTTCTACTGATTGCCTGGATCTGGTCTCTTAGATTAGGCCAGCTATCTGCTCCTTCTATTCTCCCTGAGATATGGATGTGGAGGGAAAGTGTGAAGATGAAGGTCAAATGTGGTTATATTAATAAGAATGTAGATTGTGAATACAGATTGAAAATCTGTCACTACAGATAAAGAAAAAAAACTATCTTAGTTGAAATTTAGATAGTATCTCTATTTTTAAGAGGAGAAAATTGAAGCACATTAGATAGAAGGTCACAGACTATGTTGGATGGGGACTAGAACTTAGTTTTTACATTTCTAGTAGGTAAGTATTCATTTTTTCACTAGAATATTAGATTTTCACTTGAAGTTCATTTGCAGTGGAATAAGATCACCTAAGATTATGACATTAGGAAACACGAGTTCTTTAGAAACATTGCCAAGAATATACAAAAAGATTCCATTAGTTGATATTAAAAATAAATTTTCTCTCCTGTTGTCTGAATGGTGGTAGGAGCACAGATTGTCGCTTAAAGTGGTCATGCAGGTAGTAGATTATCCAAGCATCAAAGAGAAGTACAGTACTTAAATGTATAGCTAATTGATTGGCAACATGGGTGGCTAACGTCTATTAGATTACGGTGGCCACTCTTGTTTAAAGTTAGTTAATAGTTGCAGGACCCACTGTTGGCATTTATTGTCAAATGGAAGATCACAGATGAGAGACAAGGGAAGAATCGACCGTCTTATCCAACATTAAGGTGAAAAGCTGAGTTCTCACCTGAACTACTATGGAAACGCTGCCTTCCTCCCCAGGGTGTTGTGAGGATTTAATGATTTGTTTGTATGAAAGCAGGTTGTAAACTATAAAGTGCTCTTTCACATAAAAGGAGCAGCATTTAAAAACTCATTTAATACTTAAAAATCCTTTATTGGCACTGTTACAAAGAAAATTAGGATATTTGATCTGATATTTCATGCATTGTTTAATGGTGTTTACTTGTTAATAGCAGTTGTCGTCTCTTTTTCTAGAAGCCAATCTGTAATACTACATGTTACTTCATTCTAGGGGGCTCGAGTTGGTAGAATAGATGCTTTCGTACAGAGCTTGGACAAAAATTTCATGGTTCCAGTAGGTGGCGCTATAATTGCTGGCTTTAATGATTCCTTCATTCAGGAAATCAGCAAGATGTATCCAGGTAAATAAATCAGTTGCTCTTCAGAAAAAGTAACTGACAAACAAAAATTCCATTTGTACCTAGGCCACTATAATAAATTTTAATTTCCCTGCCCTGAATGTGACTTGTTCATCTTATTTCAGGAAGAGCTTCTGCTTCACCTTCTTTAGATGTCCTTATTACTTTATTATCACTTGGATCAAATGGCTATAAGAAGCTATTAAAAGAAAGAAAGGTAAGTTTTCCGTTTCGGTACACAATCATACCCTTGACTAAAATCCTTCCATATTACTGGTGTTTTTGCCTTTTGGTCTGCCACTTGGAAGGCATAGCTAGCTAGTGTGGTCCTAGAGCATTTACTTTGATCTGGAATCACCCCAGGGGGTTTTCGGTGAATCGTTCTCTCCTGTCTGTCCAGATATGGTGAGAGATCTTGGACAAGTGAGTTTGCTTTTGTGTTTTTTGAGAAACTCCTACATCAGAGATTCTTATTAGTTCAGTAAAAATCAGTTCATTTATCACTTAAAGATAGAGGCCCTTGAAACACAAACATACAGGTTTGTTTCCTCTTAGTTTCTGGAAGTCTGAAGACTTGTATAGGTGTGAGATGTCAGTCACAGGAGAAAGAACCAGGTCAGAAGTTAGCTAGCTTCTCATTCTAAAATAATAAATTCATCCCTTGTCATGACTGCAATGCTGAACTCATTGGTTATGTTGGCTGTGAAAAGAAAAGTGACATTTGTGCTTGAAAACTAGACTTTGTCTCCAACACTAAAAACTAGCTTTAATTAATTCAGGACAACTCCAGAATTGTAGACAGAGACAGTGTTGGCAGGGCGGGTCAGACTAAAATGTTTTATTCATCTCCCATCTGGGAGAGCTAGCGGCCCCTGGGACAGTTTTTGTATCTGTGTAACTTCCCAACCATCAGTAGCAGTTGTAGTCCCTTAGATTATTAATAGCACTTCACGTATTTTAAGATACTTTATGTATGTTTTGTGGTAGATCCTCTCAACAGCCTTATGAATATGCAACAGAAGTTGAAAAATTTTATTCCCTGTTTTACTCTAGTCCTCGCACCGCCCCCCCCACCCCCCAAAAAAACAGTCCATAGGAAAGTAATTGTTTATATTGTGAGGACCTCTCTTAATACTTACGTGATATGGAAAAAGATGCTCAACATCACACGTATGAAAACCACGGTGAGGTACCACTGCACGCCTCGCAGAAGGAAGCTGGCAGTACTAATGCTGGCAAACCTCTCAAGCAAGTAGATCGCTCAGACATTGCTGATAGGAACACAAATGGTACAGCAACTTTGGAAAACACTTTCGCAGTTTTTTATAAAGTTAAACATATGCTACCATATAAACTAGCCAGCCCACTCCTAGTTCTTTACTCAAGGGAAATGAAAATTTATGTCTGTACAAAAACCTATACGTGAGTGTCTGTAGTAATTCTATTCAGTATTGCCAGACCCTGGAAGCAACCCAAATGTCTGTCATCTGGTGTATAAACAAACTGTGGTATATAATACTCAGCGATAAAAAGGAACAAATTACTGATATGTGCAACAAAATAATGGCTCTCAAAATAATGGCCTTATATTAAATGAGATAAGCCATGCTCAAAAGATACATATTAAATGGTTTCATTTGTATGCCATCCTGGAAAAGGCAAAAAACATATCAGGACGGAGAAGAGATCAGTGGTTGTCAGAGTCTTGGGTTGAGCGAGGGGACTCATGGGGTAGTAAACTGTTCTGTATCTTGAGAGTGGGAGTGTTTTCATAACTGTATATGTTTGTCCAAACTCATAGACGTGAACCCCTGAAAACTGGGCCTCCGAAACTTTATATAAATGATGCCTCAATAAACCTAACAAACATTTCCAAATGATTTGACTAAAACTCCAGTTTGATCAACTCCCCGAAGTGATCATCACGGTAATAGATTGTTGTAGTTAAGAGAAGACCTCAACAAATCTTCCAAGGAGCCTTTTCCATATGATAGATGAGACCTGTTTATAGATGAACAAAATTATCACCTGTTTGTATTGTTCATATGAGAGTTTAGTTGTGTTAAGTGCCCGTGGGTCTTAGCTCTCCTACAACTGGTTGTTTTACTATGGAAAAGGCATTTGAACTTGCAGATTTTTTGTGAGGTGTTTCTGTCATCCTCATTTTTATGGGAGATGGAAGGATAAATAATGTGTCTGAGGTAAATTGTGGGCCATGGGTTTAACGCTAGGCAATTGGGCCTCTGATCCTCTATCTTAACCTCTAAACTCTGCTGCTTTTTTCCTATATGGATAAATAATCTAGCCTGGTAGCTGTGTAGTTATCTTACATAGCTATAAATCTGAAGACTTATGTCTACCAATACGCAAAGGAGGCAAAGGCAATGAATGAATTTAGCAACCCTGGCCAAAAAAGCTCAGTTGTATTTTAGAAAGGATATGAGGTATTTGTTTGTACAGAATCGCTGTTGATGGGGAGCTGCCCCTCCCTGACTCCAGGTGATCCCAGTGGGACGGTCAGTTACAGTGTTCTTTCCTCCTTTTGTCAGAGCGGTGGGCATATGACCCGGCTAGCTTGGTTCACAGGTGGGCATGTGGAGGTCGATTCCTTCCAGCAGACTTGAGAGAGTCTTGAGAGAGAGGGGGTTTGCTGCTTTGCAGATAGTAAACTGTAAGCATATGATCTTATTACTCACCTGCCATACTTCTCGCCTCACCAAGAAAGCCTTCTTGGGACTAGAAAATCTAAGAGGGAAAACAGAACTAAGAATCATCTGAGTTTCTGGATCCAGCCATGCCTCCTTGTAGACTTGGCTGTAGATGAACCAACAAATTCCCTTTTTTGTTTTAAACTGCATTTCTGACACTGATACTTGTGATCCTCTTATGCCCTTGAGTCCTTCCTAATGTTTCCCAACATTCGTTTCCTCCTTTTCCCTTCCACTGCTACCGCTCCCTAGCTCAGGTCCTTACCATATCACCCCTGGATGGCTACAGGAATTTACTAATTCTCCTTCTAATCTGTAGCCTACTCTCATTTGCTGTGTTGTAAATGAGTGTGCCAGGTCAATACTTTAAAGTTTTTCAAGTTATTCTGCTTTGAGTTCTGGTTGCCTGCAAGACAAAGCTTACCCTGCCATCATGATCCTTTATAGTCTCCCCCCACATTATGTTGGCAGTATTGGACCTTGCTTGTTCATTTATTCAGGCAAAGAAATGTTTATGCTTAGGCCCTAAGGTTAAATTCACCAGTGAGACTCACGTAGTCTCTACCCTCATGGAAGTTATAGTCGGGGGAAATCTAGATGTTAAATAAATAATTACAAATCTGTTTGGCTTTATGTAAGGACAAGCAGAAGATATGAGAGCATGTTTCACCCAACCCAGCTGGGGCACCTAACCCAGTTTTGAGAGGGTTGGGGAAAGCCTCCCTGACGAAGTGACATCTGTTCTATGAAGGTACAACTTGTGCATTTATTAGACTCTTATGGTGTCATCATAAACTAGACTGGATGGCTAAAATACCTGTACAACTCTTACAGGGTATTTTTTTTAAGTTTTTATTTATTTATTTTGAGAGAGAGAGTGCAAGCAGGGAAGAGACAGAAAGAGGGGGAGAGAGAGAGAGATAGGGAGGGAGGGAGAGAGAGAGAGAAAGAAGAGAGAGAGAGAGAGAGAGAGAGAGAGAGAGAGAGAGAGAGAATCCCAAGCAGGCTTCACACTGTCAGCGCCTGATGTGGGACTTGATCTCAGGGACCTGTGAGATCATGACCTGAGCCAAAAATCAAGAGTCAGGCACTCAACCAACTGAGCCACCTAAGTGCCCTACTTAACAGGATATTCTAGACTGAGTCTGGAAAGCAAAGTCCTATGCAGTTCCAAGAGAGTTTGTTCTAGATCACTTCATAAAATTAACTTTCCTTTATGATAAATTCAGATTCAGTAAGTCTGGAGTGGGGCTAAGACAACTGCATTTTTACACTTGATCTTAGCCAAAAGGCCAAGAAGCGATAGGACAACTGCATTTTTAAGAAACTTCCCTGATAAATCTGATGCGCATCCTAGTTTGAAACCCATTATTTTGGAGGCACACAGGTCACTTGTATCTGTAACAGAAACTTGGAGAAGAAACATAACTTTTTAGCATTTTAGTACATAGGTAGATAATATTTTACAGAGTTTGAGATGGACTATATAAATATCCCAAAATACCAAAGGTTTAAAAATATAACTTGTTAGTTATCTGTTTCTGATCTCTTTAGTTGTCCTAGTTATAGTCCTTTCTTGTATTGTTGTTACTCTTTGCCTTCTAATGGTCCCTCTGCAGATTTGGCTAAAAATTCATTTTTGGAAATATAAGATCTCTGAGAAGACTATTACATCAAGTTTTAAGTTAGACATTTAAAGATTATTGTTTATCATATAGATAGAAACTTTAAAAAAATTTTTTAAAATTTATGTTTATTTATTTTTGAGAGAGAGAGAGAGAGAGAGAGAGAGTGGGGGAGGGACAGAAAGAGAGAGGGAGGCACAGAATCTGAAGCAGGCTCCAAGCTCTGAGCTGTCAGCACAGAGCCCGACACAGGGCTTGAACCCATGAACCATGAGATCAGGACCTGAGCTGAAGTCAGATGCTTAACCAACTGAGCCAGCCAGACGCCCTGAAACCTTAAAAATTTTTATATGCTGTTATAGTATCAAATAAGTGTACTGTTCAGCATTTCCTATTTCTGTTCTTCAATGGAAACTATATATGATAATAGCTAATAAAATTATGTATTTGCTGTAATAAACTAATATCAGTCTTGAGTGATTTTGTAGTTAAGTTTATTTAGCTAGCATATTAAACTGATTATCTGAGTGCATACCCCCCAGAAATCACCATCAGGGGTGTGAAATGAGACTTGGTCCTTCTGGACGGGGAGTCTGGGAGACTAGTGTCCAGCCTGGAGCTTGCATTCATCCCTCTGGGCTTAGCATCCTTTGCTTGAGGCGCTAGATGCTCTTCAGATGTTGGTTGAATGAACTAATGGGAGGTATTAGGGAACACCTAGGTTTACTTTGGCGTGGTCATCTCTTGTTTTACGCAGAATAAGTATCTTCCAGTTAGAGAGCAAATAATTTTTGATACTGACGTTATGAACTAGATGTTCTCATAGGAATATTTCTCAGTATTTCTCAATACTCACCATAACTTGTGAAAAGGAACGAGTTAAA